CTCTCTCTCTCTCCAGTTGTTGTAGTTAAGCACAATTGTTATAAGTTAGACATCACATGGAAATTCACAGTGTTGTTACACGTCTGGGAAACGTAGCATACTTTTCGTTCTATAAGACCTGTAGTGGGTGGTTAGCGGGTGCTCTGGTAGTGCGGTTTGCCTCTTCTTTCCTTTCAAGCATCTATATCATTATCTGTCCCCCTTTTCTTTGCGTGTTGTTGTCAAGTCACACCTCTTATCCACGGCAATAGTATGTCCTGTATAGTTGCTTTTGCTTTAGTAGAGGTTTTACGGCGCTCGCAACTGCATAATGTCATTATATGAGTGCCAGAAGATTAGAGGTGTTACAAGAGAGTAACAAACATAAAAAAGGAGGGGAGATAAGGACGATAGATGTTTGATAGGAAAAAAGGAGCAAGCCACACCAGAGCTCCCGCCAACCACCCACCTGTATAGTTGTGCTGCAAGTGCCCCAAGGACCTTCTTACTTTTTAGAATAACTATTTTTAACATTACTGAAATGGCAGAAACCTCTATAAAGTCTTAACCCGTACAAACAACAACTAAGAAGAACAAAGTAAAGCGAACTATTGCATGTAGACAAAATGCTATTGTGGATCTAGATCTAGTGTTAACGTTATCATTTTGTCTTTCACAACACTTGATTCATTTTTTTGCTGTTATTATTTTTGTGTGTGGCTACTCCAGCGTTTGTTGTTTTTGTTGGTGCTGCTGTTTTTGTTGTTTTGATTTTGTTGTAAGTTGTTGTTCTTAAGCGGTAAAAAAGGAATACCCGGTATCCACCTGGCTTGTAGTCATTGCACTAAAAAAAAGTATTTAAAATGTGAGCTAGATTCTATATTTAGATCTCGTCGAACTTTAACTGTTAGATTTAAAGAAACGAGAACAACTCTACAAACATTCTGTTGAAAAAGGAATTACGGACTAAATTATGTTTTAGATTGAAGATGTTTATAGAAAATGCAATCAAATATTTAAAAGTAGAATTATTAATATTTTGATATAAAAACCCAACTGATAAAAAAAGGAAGATAACGAAACTCGAGATCCAAGGGAAACTACTCTCACAAAAATCAGTCAGTTTCACTGTCCTCTCAACAGACGTCCAAACTTTTGAAACTTCTGAAACTTGCAATTCTTGGCACTCGATTGTTATCTTATCAGCTGAATTCAATAGTTTCAGCTAACCAGTCGAGGCTTTTCATTTACTGGTATGCACTAGCATATAGATCTATCTATATACCGCTTGAACTCTTCCGTACTTGTCCCAACGGCGGGTCCTAAAATTTAGGGCCTAAATTAACTAGACTATAACGCCCCGGGGCAGTGCCTCGTCTGTAGTGTCTTACTTTAGGCCATTCTCAAAGGGGGGACATTTCTGGTTCAAGCATAGTAGAATTGTAAATGGGCTGATTCACCATGTCACGCTTCATAACTGTGCCTGATCTGCGACAGGGAACTGCTGCTTTTTCTTTCCTAATTCTTACTATTGTCATTTTCTAGATCTAGCCCTCCTCTGGGCTCATGACTCTTTCTGCAGCCTTTCTGTACTGCTACTCCTTGGCTCGGTAATTGTTTACTTTCTCGCGTTTAATTTCGTGGAGGACTTCCATAACGAGCGACCACTCTGAACTCAATGAATATTATACTCAATTTGGCCATCAAAATCAGTACGGAAGGCCTAAAGCAGATTCTAGATCTAGGCTAACTACAAATGATGGAATTGTCATGGTATAGATTAACTCCAGTTCCAGGCTTGAATATCCAGACGGGGATGCATAAAGTTTCGTCTAAATCTAGAATCAAGGCGCGGCCGGAATTAAACGTGAGAAAGTAAACTATTGCCCTTGGCTCCTTCTTACTGCTGTCTTTCAGCCTCACCCCTGATCTTCTGGTAGGAAAGATCTACACCTAGCCTACTCGGACAAGGGCGAAAAATCTCGGAGGTCCCGTATGCGTGCACGTTAAAGATCCCTTGATGGTCCGAAATCAATAACAGTAGGCTTCAACCGCCACCCGCGCAAAATTCAAAATTTCCTACCAAATGAAAATGTTAGAGGTGTGTCCTGCGTGCTCATGCAGTTGTGAGCACCGTAAAACACAAGTTCTTATATTTAAAAAAAAAGAAGAGTTTTTAACCTAAAAATCAGGGCTTTAAAATTGCCTCGCATCTTGTCCATGATGTACGAAATAAGTGAATAAATCCAGTGGGAGATCCGACCAAGGAAACAAATTCACAATTTTTTTTTTTTTAAATTGAAGGGAAAAGGTGATGGTTTTACCAATAAAATCAACCCTTTATCTCTGAGTGTTCGGTGACACCGAATGATAAAGATGCGATAGTTTACTTCCAAATAAACACAGAAAATGACCCAGTAAATTCATGGTGTGACAAGTATTCTGTACGAAGCTGTTAAATTTTCTCCCAGCAGAGGTCTAGTGTTCAATTGGTTTGTAAAAGTTTGTTGATAGTCTTAAAAAAAAAGAGCTGTTTTTATATTGAGCATTGCTCCGGTTTGTGGCTGTATTGTAAAAAAGCAATTTCCAAGCTCAGCTGATTGAACGAAAACAGCTATAAATTCTATGAAGTATTATTTTTTTTACAATGAATAGTGACACACACACACACATGCACATTCAGAAGAGAATGTAGTTTAGTTTGAATAAATGACTCTCATAAAAAAACATTTTTCTAGTAATCTTTATTTCCACTTTGTTGTGGATTTGCAAATTTTTGACATTTTTATGGTGCTGTTTGTTTTCAGTGTGCTTTGTATCACCTCCACGAATTACAATTTGATTGATATATATTATATTGGCCCAGCAATTTTTAAAATCTGATTTTGTATTCATTTCCCTTTTTAATGAAGTATAAAACTCTGCTTTAATTTAACTTGGTGAGGAAACATAGCCCGCTATGTATGTAAATGACCCTCTGTTCCGTTTTGACGGACCAAAATTAAATTCCGCCCAAGCGTGGGAAAAAATTTTGGTAGCCCAGGATAGAAAAAGGTGGAAAGTGTTTGTTATTTTTAAAAAATTGTGTAAGTGTTTTACGGCGCTTGCAACTGCATAAGGTCATTGAGTGCACAGGACACATGATATTAAGCTTTCTCAGTTGATAGGAAATTTTTGAATTTTTCCCGGGTGGCAGCCGAAGCCTACTCTCATCGATTTTAGACCACCGAGGGATTTTTAACGTGCGCAACTTGTACACGGAACCTCTGAGCTTTTTTGCCATTGTCCGAGAAGGCTAGGTGTAGATCTTTCCTACCAGAAGATCAGGGGTGTGGCTGAAAGACAGCAGTAAGAAGGAGCCAAAGAGTAGCTGTAGAAAAAACTGCAGAAAAAATAAGGAGCCCAGAGGAGAGGGCAAAGGATGTAAAGGGGTGGGGCCAGAAAGAGGAGATGAAAGCAGACGACAGAACATTGCTAGAGGAGGTGAAAGGAGACAATTTTAGAGAAAAGGTTTTGGTTGCTACATGGATTCGAACCTGTGACCTTTGAATGAGAGGCCAACACCTTAACCTCTAGGCCACGAGGGCCCCCTGGAAAGTGTCTGTTCGCCTCCTATACCCTGGTACAGGATGAGAAAGGCTATTATGATGGTGTAAAAAAAATTTGGGGGACAAAGGGTTAACCCAATTCATTAAGTTTCTGACTTATATGTCTGAATTTGATTAGCACTGACACTATTAATGTCTATTGTTTTTATTTTCAGGTGAGTCCGAATTTTCTAACTATGTCGCTATTTAGATTTTTTCAGGTGTGTTTGATTTTGTACATGTCTAATGTCTATTTTTGCATTTTCTGATGTGTCGGAATTTTCCAACTAGGTGGCTATAGATATTTTTCAGGTGTGTTAGAATTTTCTAAGCGCATATATATGTGTCTATTTTTGCATTTTTCTGGTGTGTCAAAATTTTCCAATTATGTGACTACTTAGATTACTAATGTGTAAGAATTTTTAGACTACATATATATTTTTTCCAATAATGTGGCTATTTAGATTACTGATGTGTAAGGATTTTCTAACTACATATATATATATATCTATTTTGTCCAATTATGTGGCTATTTAGATTACAAATGTGTCAGAGTTTTCTATCTACATTTCTATTGTTTCATTTTCAGGTGTGTCAGAATATCTGAGTGAGTGCGTCTGTCAGTTGTCGCTCCTTCGAGAGAGTCCGTCTGCTTCATGCTGTCCATCAGTCGCGCAGCTTACAGCGCAAACACTGCCCTCAGGGGCTCCATAGCTTCGGAAGTCGCAGCGCAGATCAAATCTCGTCATTTCTCGTCGCACACTGACAACAGCTGGGGGATTGTCGCAAACCGTTTTGTGTTCCCGACAAATTCTGGGAAGCTCGCGACAGAATCATCTCTTCTTCCTCCTTTCCGTGGATTTACCAGTCCCTGTGGTGTTCGTCTCACAAGGAACCTTAACACAATGGCTGTCGACGCTAAAGATCTGAAGTATTTGGGGTAAGTCCACAAGATTTTCTCTTCTTCTCTTTTTCTCTCTTTCTCTCTCTTTCTCTCTCTTTCTCTCTCTTTCTCTCTGTTTTTTTTTAAAAATTTGAGGCACTCTGACAAAATGAGTCAATTTTTCGTTTTTAGCCTCATGGATACGGACATATACGTCAAATTTACGGGTTTGGTTTGTGCAATTTATTACAGGAAATGAAAATACAAGACCTATTTAACACAAAAGAAAGTCACGTTAATGTAAAATCTACAAATTTGATGTGTCGATTTTTGGCCAAAATGGATTGCGAGAAGTGACTCAGTTTGTCAGCGCGCCTCACAAATGTAGGTGTTATTAGGCGCCTATCGTCACAATTAAATTATTTAAGAGATGGGATTCCGACCCTGCCTGTCAGGGCCAACATGGGCTGAGAGGGATATATCATCCCTGCAGAAATTCCGAGCTCCTCGATTAAAAAAATTATTGATTTTCTCCCCACTCGGGTATTGAACTCGGGTCACGGTGCCATTGTAACGCAGAAAAAACACACATGGGTGGAAGTGGGAAGTGGTTGTCTTTTACAGGTGGTTGTCTTGTACAGGTGGTTGTTTTGGACAGGTGGTTGTCACGGGCAGGTGGTTGTCTTGTACAGGTGGTTGTCTTACAAGTGGTTGTCTTGTTCAGGTGGTTTGTCTTGTACAGGTGGTTGTCTTGTACAGGTGGTTGTTTTAGCCAGGTGGTTGTCTTGTACAGGTGGTTGTCTTGTACAGGTGGTTGTCTTAGCCAGATGGTTGTCTTGTACAGGTGATTGTCTTGTACAGGTGGTTGTCTTAGCCAGGTGATTGTCTTGTACAGGTGGTTGTCTTGTTCCGGTGGTTGTTTTAGCCAGGTGATTGTCTTGTACAGGTGATTGTCTTGTACAGGTGGTTGTTTTAGCCAGGTGGTTGTCTTGTACAGGTGGTTGTTTTAGCCAGGTGATTGTCTTGTACAGGTGATTGTCTTATACAGGTGATTGTCTTGTACAGGTGGTCCAGGTGGTTGTCTTGTACAGGTGGTTGTTTTAGCCAGGTGATTGTCTTGTACAGGTGATTGTCTTGTACAGGTGGTTGTTTTAGCCAGGTGGTTGTCTTGTACAGGTGGTTGTCTTGTACAGGTGGTTGTCTTAGCCAGATGGTTGTCTTGTACAGGTGATTGTCTTGTACAGGTGGTTGTCTTAGCCAGGTGATTGTCTTGTACAGGTGGTTGTCTTGTTCCGGTGGTTGTTTTAGCCAGGTGATTGTCTTGTACAGGTGATTGTCTTGTACAGGTGGTTGTTTTAGCCAGGTGGTTGTCTTGTACAGGTGATTGTCTTGTACAGGTGGTTGTTTTAGCCAGGTGGTTGTCTTGTACAGGTGGTTGTTTTAGCCAGGTGATTGTCTTGTACAGGTGATTGTCTTATACAGGTGATTGTCTTGTACAGGTGGTCCAGGTGGTTGTCTTGTACAGGTGGTTGTTTTAGCCAGGTGATTGTCTTGTACAGGTGATTGTCTTGTACAGGTGGTTGTTTTGTACAGGTGGTTGTTTTAGCCAGGTGATTGTCTTGTACAGGTGGTTGTCTTGTACAGGTGGTTGTCTTGTAACGGGTAATGGTATAAATGACCATTTTTGTATCTTTAGTGAAATAAACACACTCAGTTGTCATCTAGCAGCGCCTACCTAAAGTTTCATACGATATTGATTATTGATAATTGATTACTGATTATTGACGGTAGCTATCCTCAAGTCCAGTGACGTTCACCAATGGCATGCTAGTAAAACTGTTCTATATTGGTGTGATATGATACTGCACATACGTTATATATAT